ACACCCACTTTAAGGACACTGACTGCTATTCAATCTATAACAGTGAAAAAAGTTTTTTGTTTTTAAATGCAAGCTATTGTGACACCAGTGAGTGAGTGGTGGCACTGGGCACAGTATCCACTGTGAGCCTGACACACCCGCTTTAAGTACACTGACTGCTATTCACTCTATTCACTTCACAGCAGAGATCAGATGAGTCCTTTAGGACTGTAGTGGACACTGTATACCCTAACCTAGCTATGCATTTCCCTATCTAATCAACAGCAGCTACACTTTCCCTCCTCTCACTAAGCATGCAGCTTGAGAATGAATCTAAAATGGATGCTGTCCAGTAGGTGGGAGGATCTGCTAGGGAGGGTGTGCTGCTAATTGGCTGGAATGTGTCTGCTGACTGTGAGGTACAGGGTCAAAGTTTACTCAATGATGATGAATAGGGGGCGGATCGAACCGCGCATGTGTTCGCCATCCGCGGCGGAAGCGAACACGCTATGTTCGCTGGGAACTGTTCGCCAGTGAACCGTTCGGTGCATCACTATTCACCGCACTCGGTGTCCCCGTATCTCCCACCAAAATGGGCCAGACACAGTCATCAATTTTCTAGGTATTCTACTGGATTCAGCAACAATGATGGCCAGCCTACCTAGAACAAAGATTGATAACATCCTTCACGACATTAGCCACTACATGCATAGGGGGTCTTGCAACCGTAAAGAACTACAATCGCTTTTGGGTTCACTAAATTTCGCTATGCGCATAATCCCCCAGGGCAGGGCTTTCATTTCCAGGCTTCTCGCCCTGTTCCCCACCTTCACCAACGACTATGCCCGCATATCCTTGGACTGCCCTGCGACTGCTGACCTCCATATGTGGTTCAAATTTCTCTCGGACTGGAACGGTAGGAGCATGTTTCTTCCACAGTTGGATTCTCGGTCACCTGTCATTTGGACAGACGCAGCATCATCCGCGGGATATGCGGCCATTTTCGGCACAGATTGGCTCTGGGGGACTTGGCCAACAGAAACACAGGGCATCGAGGGGTTTTACACTAACTCAGCCCTCTTTGAGGTATACCCAATAGTTGCTGCAGCTGTCACTTGGTGTAGGTTATGGGAAGGTCAGTCCGTACGCTGTTTCTCTGATAACCTGGCAATATGCCACATTATCAACAAAGGTCGCTCTTCCTCCTTGACAATTATGAACTTCCTTAGGAAACTGACATGGCTGGCAGCTACCCATCACTTCCACATTGTATGCTCTCATGTTCCCGGCATATACAATACGGCAGCTGACCAGCTATCTCGCTTTCAATTTCAGGCTTTCAGACGGTCCCTACCCTCGGCATCTCGTATGGCAACCCCAGCTCCAACCTTCCAAGACCTTGTCATGGAGTAGATGAACTACTTCAGCACAGCCACTCTCTCACAAAATTAGCGTTATCCACTAGCACTCAACACGCATATCACAGAGCTTTTCACCTATACAAACGATTCATGTCTGACCATCACCTAACCAACTGGTTTGAAGTATCGTCACTAATGGCTTTTGCATCTTTTTGCCACCTTAAATTTAAATTCTCACATAACACTATTAAGCTTTACCTCACGGGGATACAAGACCACATGTATTACTCCTTCCCTAACCACAAAGGTTTCTTAACCTCGTACCCCATCCGCACACTACTGAAGGGCATAGCAAAAGCAGACGGCCCAGCGACACTCAAAAGATTGGCTATTGACATGGAAATGTTCAAGTCATTGTCCAACCTACTCGTCCAGGCACCATTTGAACCCAATACAAACACGGTTATTAAAGCAGCCATGTATCTAGCTTTTTATGGTTTTCTTAGGCCACGAGAGTTCACCATTAGTGGCCAACAACATAACAAAGGGTGCCTCCTCATGTCATATCTCACGAAACACACAGACTACTACGTCCTGACCCTACCTAAGACTAAGACAAGTCAGATGGGGGAACCAGTTCACATAAACTACTACCCCACTGGTAACAATTGGTGCCCTGTAAAAGCGCTGGACGCTTTATTAGCCACGAAACCTACACACCCCTCAAGACCCCTACTGTTGTTACACGATACCATTCTCACCACAGCAAAATTCATGCTTTACGTCAGGATGTTTATCACCAGACTTGGTCTAAACCCTGGTAGCTACTCGGGGCACTCCTTCAGAATTGGAGCCGCCTCCACAGCCTCTAGCCAAGACATACCAGCTCATGTTATTAAAACACTGGGTCGCTGGAAGTCCTCAGCTTACGCCACCTACATCCCGCACCCAGTCCAAGAGATTAGGAGGGCGTTCATTAAGATGTCTACTTAATAATATGTACTTATGTTTACTGAATAAATGATTACCTTGCTTTTCTCTTTTTCCCACTTTATTTACCGGCCTACAGCATACATCGGTTTCGGCACACCTCAACCGACTATTTCCTTTTATTGTATTTCTCTCCACCAGAGTATTCCATATCATATGAGAACACAAATAAATAAATATATATATATATATATATATATACCTCCCCCCCGACAAAAAAAAAGTGAGCTTAGTTTACTAAGTTCAAAAAGGCAAAGAAAAAAAGCCCAAATCTTCTCACAATATAGTGAAAGCGAGGCCCCCTGGATATAAAACACAGTATCCTACTTAAGAAAATGGTAGATGGCTACAATAAACATTTTTTTACAAATGGCTACAATTTAAATGAATTGTGAACAGCGTAGATATGATATATATATATATATATATATATATATATTTAAACCTCAAAGATATTCTGGACCCAAGCTACCTTACAACTTCTCCCATGCTGGCTTAAGTCTCCTCACGCTGGTACCTACCAATGTAGGAGATGTAAAGCCTGCCAATACATATGCAAAAAATCCAAACAGTTCTCGAACTCTATGAACACAGAACTGTTTACTACTGATACATTTTTTAATTGTCATACCGCGGGTATTGTATACCTCCTGATATGCAGTTGCTAAACACAATACGTGGGGAAGACTTGTCGCACATTCAAGAAATGCATACGTGAACATGTTAACTCAGTTAACCTCTCTAGTCACATTAATCTCTAGACACCTCAAACTATACCATGAGTGTTCCTCAGAGGGTGTAAGGTTCAGCGGCATTGAGAAAGTAGCTTTGGGACCCAGAAAAGACAACATTGACAAGAGGCTATTACAAAGAGAGAGCTTCTGAATATATAAATTAAAAATTCTGTCCCCATTCGGTCTAAATTAAAGCTTCTCTTAGGCTCCGTTTATTTATGGATAAGATATCTACCTTGGTTACTATATCTATAGCACTGTAAATATATATCTCACATCAGTATCTGTCAAATGATAGGCTTTCACATTAAGCCATAATTGTAACATTATCCAAGAAACTTTGAAATAATTTTTCCAATCATATATAATCTTTTTTTAACCATTGGATATTTGTTCCCACTATAACTACTTCCCACTTGTCTCTTAACTTGGAACCCATTACAGAAACCCAGAAAAATAATATAGCATCATTTGTAACTCTGGAAGAATGAGAATATAGCTCACAAGAGAATGAATGATTGAGTAATGCACTCTGATAATTTGTGCTGACATACACATAACTATTTGTATTCATAATAGCATATGCTCTAAAGGAAGTCCCTGCAAGATATTATCATTATACACTTTTCACGTTAAGGATTCAACCCTGTAATAAAAAGTGTGACATTTAGATCACATTTATCTTATTGGATGCCTTTTACTACCATTTTTTTAATATTGCCTCACATTATATTGGGGATTATCCTTGCTTTGACACATTATGAGATCGCCCAATACGCCTCATATGCATACAGTAGATTCCTGTGGCGAAAAAACCCTCGCCACTGGGTTTTGGAGAGGACTAATGGCCAGCCTTTTGCCCAAAGACTATGGGCCCTGCAAAAAAACTTGCTAAAAAGTCTATTTAGACTTATTGGAGTCTAAAACACTTTGTCTGCCCCTTTAAATCCATGGGAAAATGTGCCTCTTCCCCTCCCCCTTTTTCCTGTCCTATTGTTCTCCAGCAGGGTGTTGCCCTAGGGACACTGCCAGACCAGTTGAAACTGACTGCTTTGCCCCTCCTCAATCTCCCATCAATGTTTAACCCCATGGCATTGTTTATTTAACTACATGGCAATCCAACTGTATTCGTGAGATCTGAGCGCTTTTCAGACATATTGAGTGCTCAGATCCAAGTTATCTGGGGATATGTTGGACATATAGGTTAAACATTGTATTATGAGTTATGTATTTTTATGTGGTTTTTGTAACAGTTTTTGACTTAGAGATATTTCCTATAAATGTAGATAATTAAGTTCCCACAGCCACTTAAGCAAATTATCTCCAGTATAGAGGAGAAGATAGACCAGCCGCACAGCCTAAATCTATAGAACTATTTTGGGCATGAAAGCCATGCTTGCGGTCGGTCAAAAGAGACTTCCAGAAAACTTTTGAACCCCTGTGGGGTTGTGGGGATATGTGGTGTTTTGGGGTGTTTTCTCCCCTGGCTATAATCACCTATAAAAAGAGGTGTTCCTGGTTCACATAAGTAAATATGGACATCTATATACCTGGGGTAAACCAATGAGTACGTAGCTAAATAAAAGTAAAAATAAAAAATAAAAATAATGGCAAAGGGATATATGGGGAGTAATAGCAGAAAACCCAGATTTGAATATATATAGCAAACGGGAAGCTGACAATATGGTGCAAGAATGCTCTATGCACTTATTCCAATTACAATGTCCCAATACAGTAGTGTTGTGGATGTAAAATAGTGTTAGTAAAATGCCTATTTACTGTGCAAACCTGTATTCAATATTTACTCAAAATGGCTGCTAGAGCAACCCCTCCCATCGACTAACTACCTCGTGTAACAAAATGGCGCCTGAGTCCTGAGTAAAATCCCGGGAAGAAGGTGACATCATGCCTTGTAGGATGTGCAATAGACAAGACCCTTAACACCTATCCAATTAAAGATGTATTCTTACTGTTATCTACATTTTTGCATATGATGTATTTCTGTCTTTATAAGGGGCTTGCCGCCCCCCCAAGTAAACATTCTGAAGTTTTTCATCAACTTGAAACCTGTGTCTCCATGTGATTTACTTCCCAGCCGCCCCACAATTTCGGGGGAGGCACCTTAAGAGCGCTTTTATTCGTCTCTATCTAGTGAGTGCATTCCTGTTTGGCGCACAATTTTGTGTACTTAACTGTATTACACTATATTTTATTTTATGTCCCTTTGTAGATTTATTCAGCCGTATCCCGAATAGTTGTTCTCTGTTTTATTCCATATGTTGTAAAGGTCGTCTTTTGGGTAACGATCTTGGGGTGCTGTCTTTGTTATTTCAAGCTAAGTATTATTATATATACTTTCATTTTTTCTTTCTCACTTTTTGGTGTTATATTGGATCTGTTTGTTATCTGATTTACTTCAAGCGTGCACACTTTCTATTTTGAACATTTTGGACCTGGGGCAGATATTCGAATAAACAAACACTTGGTTTGATCCACAACATTTGGTGCCCAACGTGGGGCTCCGTGGCTGTGAACTGACGGACAGCCATCCTTGAGGGCACCGGAGAGCAGACCTCCAGAGATGGGATGGAGATTGATCACCTCTGAATATATACGGTAATGACTGCATCAGCACCTTGCCTATATCTCCTGTCCCTGTGATTGGCTTGGCTCTGTGCCTGCGCCGGCTGCTGGAGGGCACCAAAGACAGGTAAATAGCTTGCCCGGAGTCCTTTTGTAAAGAACCTGTATGTGGACTATCTGCCTCCTGGGTGTGACTGTATTTTGTATAAGGGGAAGTAATTTTGCATTTTATTTTTGTTAGCTTTATTGTCCAGGCGAGACAGGGACCGCAGTTTTTATTGTTATTGGCTTTACTGTCCAGGCGAGACAGGGACCGCAGTTTTTATTGTTAATTGCTTTACTGTCCAGGTGAGACAGGGACCGCAGTTTTTATTGTTATTGGCTTTACTATCCAGACGAGACAGGGACCACAGTTTTTATTGTTATTGGCTTTACTGTCCAGACGAGACAGGGGCCGCAGTTTTTATGGTTATTGGCTTTACTGCCAGGCGAGACAGGGACCGCAGTTTTTATTGTTATTGGTTTTACTGTCCAGGCGAGACAGGGGCCGCAGTTTTTATTGTTATTGGCTTTACTGTCCGGCGAGACAGGGACCACAGTTTTTATTGTTATTGGCTTTA